AAAAAAAAAAAAAATTACTTATAGTTTAAAAAATTACTCAACTATATATTTTTTTTTTGAAGTGAAGAGTTTATACAAAAATAATTTTATTTTAATTAATTAAATAATATAAAAATTTATTTTTTACTTATTATTCACATAGATTTTTAAATATATGATAAAATTTTATCGAAATAATTATTTTATGTAACCACGTTGTATTCAAATTGAATTTCTGAATAAAAATTTCAAAACGGCAGTTATTTTGAAATGATATAATGTAGTTTAATATCAGTTATGTGCACCGTACGAGTTAATTTTATATTTTAAATTTTTAAATATTATTTAATGAGCATTTTTAATTTATAAATCTTAATGACTATTTCTTACTCGTGCATCGCACGGGATTCGTACTAGTTAACAAAATATAAATAATTATTAATAAGATAAAATAATTATTCATAATTCAATGTCCGCACATTTTGTATAGATAATTGTTGTTGTGATTTTAAAAATCATACTAGCTTTAGAGTAAATATATGATTGGACTTAAAAAAATATGTATCAGATATTTTAACTAATATTGTTGAAAATTAATAAGGTTATGGTGAAAATTAAATCTTACATCAACCAACTTGTTAAAATTTCGGTTCAAATATTTGTTAAGATATGATGGAATAATAGGATGATGACATATCAAGGAAACCAATTGAATCCAATATAGATGGATTTTTTTTAAGAAAATAATAATTATATATATATTTTTTTTAAAGAAAATGATGATATCTATAGTAGCGTAAATTTTGGCAACTGAATCAATCTGTTAAGTATGTTATATCGTCTCGCTGGGCTGTGGACTCCTCCCGAACCGATCATTTCTTTCCCAACATTCATGGCCGCCGCCCCGATCGACCGGCTCAGCGCCTTACCTGACGACATCCTCTCTCAGATCCTCTTTCTTCTACCGACCAAAGGCGCCGTCTCGACCAGCACCCTCGCCACAAGATGGCGGCATTTATGGGCGTACGCCCCCAACCTCGAATTCGACGATACATTCAGCGATAACTTTAAAACGGTTATGTCCCAGTGCGCAGCCCATAACAGCGCCGTCACGCTCCGCCTGTTTGTAACGTCTCGAGTACTTTCCAAGAAATTCAAGAATGTCAACGCCGCCATTGCAAGCAACTTAAAAGCTCTCCATCTCTCTTTCGGCTATGACGGCACAGTGATTCTGCTTTCCGTGTTCACCTCCAAGACTCTGGTCGATTTGAGGCTCGTGCGCTGCCGAACTGAAATTAGAAAGAATGGGGCCACCACGCGTCTCCCCGCCATCAAGAGGCTTCATCTCGAGCGCGTGGCTCTCGACGAATCCCTCGAAAATGTGCTCTCCGGATGTCCACTGCTGGAGGAGTTGACTATCAAACAAAATTTGCCTCTTTGCGAAATTCGAAAACAGGACGGGACCCCACTCTGTTTGCCTGCCCTCAAGAGGATCCATATCGAGTGCGTGGAGCTCGGTGACGCTTTCGTAGACCTGATTTCTGGTTGTCCGGGCCTTGAGGAGCTTACTATTCGGAAAAATCTACCCATTGCCATGAATGTTACGGCCATAATGTGTTTGCCTGCCCTCAAGAGGCTCCATCTCGAGTGCGTGGAGCTCGGTGACTCTTTTATAAACCTGATTTCTGGTTGTCCGGGCCTTGAGGAGCTTACTATTTGGAAAAATCTACCCAACGCCATAAATGTTACGGCCATAATTTGTTTGCCTGCCGTCAAGAGGCTCCATCTCGAGTGCGTGGAGCTCGGTGACTCTTTTATAAACCTGATTTCTGGTTGTCCGGGCCTTGAGGAGCTTACTATTCAGCAAAGTCTACCCAACTCCATGCTTACTGATCGGAAAAGTATACCCAACTCCATAAACGATAAGTCCATAATGTGTTTGCCTATCCTCAAGAGGCTTCGTCTCGAGCGCGTGGAGCTCTGTGGTGGCTCCCTAGAAAACCGCTGTATTTCCTGGCCGATGGTTAACGTGTTGGCTATTGAAGGAAATATACTCTGTAACATGTTCACTTCCGAAACCATAGTTGATTTGACGGTTGCTTCTAGCAAAATTAAAATAAGGAAGGGGGACATAAGCTTGCCTTCCCTAAAGAGGTTTCACCTCAAGGACATTGAGCTTGCCGGCTCCCTTAAAAAGCTTCTTTTCGGTTGTCCTGTGCTTGAGGAGTTCACTATCGGAGGATATTTTCGGGATATTCATCGGAACGGTGTTTGCTGTTGTATATCTTCTCCCACAATTAAGAGGCTTGTGCTCACCTGCAGGACTCCTTACCCGTTGTGCTTAGATACTCCTGCTCTTGAATACGTCCGTTTACTCTGTTTCAGGCCTGTGAATTTTTTGACTGGGATTCAGGCTTCCCTGATTGAAGCAGATATTGCTCTTGAATGTGCGCAAGTACATGTGGCCGCGCTCTCTAATGTGAAATACTTGACATTCAATACTAGTTGGGTTAGGGTAAGTTGTATTCTTGTTTCTCATTCTCTTATTTGTCTAGTATTTTTGGTTCTATAATATTTGGTTTGAGATCCCCCCCCCTCTTTTTTTTGGGCAGGTTTTCCACTCAATGACGGCTAATTTGAACATAAAGTTTAACAATTTAACCAAACTCGAAGTGGTTGCTAATATGTCTGTGGTCGCATATTTCCTTAGAAAGGCCGATTATCTTGAATTCCTTATTGTTCGTGGGGTGCGTTTTGGACATCAAGTTGGTAGATATCGTAAAGAGTGGATGGAGCTCCTCCAAGTGCCTAACTGCCTATCGACACACCTTAGAATTGTAGAAATTTATGGATTAGGCTATACAGAGCATGAACTTGGTATTGTCAGATATATCTTGAAGAATGCTAAAGTCCTGGAGCGTATGAAACTACACTTCGTTGAACGTCCGGACAAGAAAGCGTCTCGTCTGATCGAGGATCTATGGCATACATGTGAGCTTGTCTTCGATTGATGTTATGTAGGATCGGATTATCTTAATTCTCAGACATGGTCTACGTATTGTTGATATTCTGCAGTTGTTTTCATTGAAAACTGTTGATTTGCTTTAATATCTTTTTGAATCATTAGATTAAGATCACTGTGTGCCTTCTTCCATAATGAAGAGGTGTGTGCTGAATTTTGAGTGTCGTTGTATCACTGCGTGAGCTTTATTCAAGATACGTTGAATATAAGATATTAAGGCCGTGTTTGGTTCGGGGGAAACGGATGGAAGGGGAAGGGAAGGGAGGAAATTTTTTAATTTTCCATTGTTTGGTTCAATTTTATGTAGAGGGACGGGTTATAATTTTCCCTTCAAATCTCTCCTCCAAGGAAAATACTCTCCCCTCCAAAAGTGGAGGAATTTGGAGGGGAGGAAAAATTTTTAATAACAAAATTACTCTTTTGACCTTAATTATGTGAATTATTTTATTTTTTTTCTTACATCATTAAGGGTAGAATTGTCATTTTTACAATATTTTTTTTCTCTTCCATTTTTCTAACAAAATAAGATTTACCATTTTCCCTCCACTCACCTCCTACAAAATCCCTCCAAGTCCCTTCAAACAAGATAAAATTATTTTTATCCACATTATCTAATCGGGATTTTTAAGATACAATGGGTTTTGTAAGATATAAATCAATTGGTATCCGCAACAAACAATCAAAAATTAGTTTTAGTTATTTTTCTTGATCATTTGTTTTAAAGCCAATATCTTAAACAATAATGAATATTTGTTTTTCTGTTTTGATCTGGTGTGATTATCTTTTACCATAATAAAATAAATATTTCATATTTTTCTTATAATTTGATGGCAATTGATTTTTTTCGATATTTTATGGTTTAATAGAAAAGTACTTTGAATAAAAAATAAAATTTAAATATAAAATTAATGTAATACAAAAGTTAATTTAATACAAAATAGTTATTTTTAATAAATAAAATAGAACATGTTAATCTAAAACAAACATTTTGACTAATTAATCATTTATCTAATTGAATTTATCACATTAACAAACTTGCTAAATTTTTTTAAATTAAAATGGTCCGATCATTATTACAGATGTACTTACCAAAATATTAATTAATATTTTATAAGCCTTTTGAAAACAAACCTGAGTTATCCCGCCTTTTAATTTATTTGAAAATTAAAATTTATATTTTAAATATATCAATAAACGTTTATATTAATTTATAATATGAATTTAATTTATATTTTAAACATATCAATTAAACTTTTAAATTGAGAAAATTCTACCCAATTTCAAATGTTTACTTTAATTATATGAATTTAATATATAATAATTTTATATTATTAATTTAATTAGATTTAATTTGATTTTATAATACATGATGAGAATATGATTTCTATTAATTGTTTGATAAAAAATTATGTTGCGTAAAGATAAGTGTTTATTAATATATGATTTTTTATTGTTTTTATTTATTTTAATTATGTAATGAGATGAGATGTGAAAAAATAAAGTTTTGAAAAATTACGATTTCACATTATTTTTTTTGACACAAGCTAACTTTGAAGGAATATTTTTCAACTCGGCAGTCTCGAGTCGCCATCCGTCTTCAACCTTGAGCCGCCAGTAACAGGCTTGCTCCCCCCAACAAAACCCTACTCGCCGATTCCCCTTCATCCTCTCATGGCCTCAATCGACATGCTCAGCGCCTTGCCGGACGAAATCCTGTCTCACATCCTCTCTTTTCTCTCCTTCAAAACCTCCGTCTCCACCAGCACCCTCGCCGCAAGATGGAGGCGTCTATGGGCCTATGCCCCTAACATACAATTCACCGAAGATTCCGTCCCGTGTTCAATTTCCGAACGCACGAATTTTTTACGCAAGCTGACAAATATTGTGTCCCAGTGTGAATCGCACGGCGTGAACACACTTCGATTTAATATGTTTTATTTCGACGAGCATGAAGTTGAGGCGTGTCTCGAGAGCGCCTTTGCGCGCAACGTGAAAATTGTCGATCTTACTTTTCCGTATTACATCCATAGTATGTCCCCTTGCATCTTCACATCTAAGACCCTAGTTGACCTGAGGATAAAACATTTGCATATTGAGATGAATGAGGGAGCCGTGTGTTTGCCGGCCCTTAAGAGGCTTCGTCTCGATTACGTTCGGCTTGGTTGCTCCCTCGAAAGCCTGATTTCTGGTTGTCCTGTGCTCGAAGATTTGACTCTTGGTAACTGTCTGCTTAATGACGGCGAAAATGGGGAATGCCATTGCATATCTTCTCCCATTATGAAGAGGTTGGTTCTCCATTGTTTCTTACCTTCCACTTCCAGATTGAAGATGGATACTCCCGCGCTTGAATATCTTGAGTTACGTTTTATTAAGCCCTATAATCTCTCGGTTGGGCCTATGGCCTCCTTGATTGAAGTACATATTGTTGTTTGTTGCTTCTATCCGATTGAGAATGACAATCTTTATTCTCGTTCTCTGGTGGAACTCGTTGGTAGGTTCTCTAATGTAAAAGCTATGAAATTAACAATTCCAGAGAAGAAGGTAAACTTATCATTTGCCATCTCTTTATGTTTTTTTTTTTTTTTTTTTTTTTTTTTTTTTTTTTTTTTTTTTTTTTCCCTATTTGTGTAATCATGTTTCGCTGCAGGTTCCTAACTTAACACCTGCTGCTTTGAAGATAAAGTTTCACAATTTAGCCAAACTCACATTGGGAGGTGACTGCTGTTTCATCTCATATTTTGTGGAGAATGCTAACAAGCTTGAAGTCCTTAATGTTAGTCTGATTTTTTGTCCTTATTTTTAAATTGTTTGGTTATATGCAAGTTACAGAGCAACCTTGTTCTGCATTTGTTTTCAACTTGTATAGATATATGTGATTGACGGCCCGACCTTGTTCTGCATTTGTTTTCTTTCTGTTTCATCATCAGGTCAGACAATATCCGGCACCGGAATGCGAGATGAAACCTTTTCAGTTGCCTAAATGCCTGCTGGCTACTTCAATCACGAAGCTTCACAATTTAACAAAACTCAAACTGCAGGAAGTGAATTGGTATTTCCTCACATATTTCCTAGAGAAGGCTAATAAACTTGAAGTCCTTATTATCCGTAAAGTAAGCATTTCCTTTTTATTCATCTCCTGTCAGGATTTTATACTTGTTCGCATTTGTATGTTTACCTTTCCGTTTCATTGTCAGGTTTATAATAATCCAAAACAGCACTGGTTTGTGGCTCCCGTCCAAGTGCCTAATTGCCTGTCGTCACATCTTAAAATAATACAAATTCATGGATTGAAAGGTATGGAGAATGAACTCGACATGGTTAGATATCTAATGAAGAATGCTAAAGTGCTGGAGAGGATGGAACTATATTGCTTAGCAGAACCGATTGAGAGAATTTCATCATTTGATCGAGGATCTGAGAAGTGTGAGATTGTCTTCAACGAATATCTGTATCTGGGTTTTTGACACGATCTAAGTATTGTCTCGTCATGCTAACACTCCCACGGCTGAGGTTCAATTCAGAAGAGTAGTTGACTTTTGTCTTCGTAAAAAACTCATTTATTTTATGTGTCTTCGACATTTTTTTTTTTTTTTT